GTCGCTTAAGTTTCGTCGGTACGAAGTTACGGAAAATCAATTAAAAAAAACGGAGACGTAACAGTACTAAAGAGTTGTATCAAGAAAGAATAAACTAGTTTTAATTAAGAAAGGACTTGTATCGGTGAAGTTCCTCGGAAAGAATATATACCCGAAATTGACAAATGAGCAGTTACATAACAATACTATTCTATTGCAAGTCAGTACAATAGATAAATAATTTTTTTTAAAAATAAATTGTACATAATTGTACTCAACTTATACACAATGACATGTATAGCCAATTCGAAAGTTCAGAATGTCCCCCTAGTGGCTTTCTCAGACTCTTTGAAAGTTGTTCTATTTTTGGTGGATTCAAAGTGGTAAGGTAAGTTGTTAGTGACCTGAAAATTTCATGTTTTTTAGAACCCAAATACAGCATAGCTACTAAGCTTGATAAATGATAGTGGAATTATGTGGTATTGATTGAGTATTTTATGATTTTTAGTTATTTCAAAATGAATATGTATAAAACCTGTAGGAAAATGTTTATTTCATATCATGAAATTGATAAGGCTTAGCAACCTTTGGCAAGCAGCAAATGAGTACAAAGTTTGTAATTGGAACAGATAATTGTTTGCTAAACTTCTGTATTTACTGTTCTATATTTTAAGGAAGATAAATTTAATAACTTGTTTGTAAATAGTAGTAATGTATATACATATATAACACATTATAACTGAAATGTGAGTGTATTTTATAAAATACTAGTCCACTGGATCACAGTCAAGACAGGTTACTTTGTAAAGGCCAATTTTATATTCTTGGATATGGTACATAAGTGCACGTACACCGCGTAATTAAAACTTCTGTAATATTAGTTAGGCACAGTTGAAAGCTCAATATAATAATAATAATAATATATAATGCATAATGTTACGAGATTTAAGCAATTTAGGCTAAACGTTTGTGTTTTCATGTTATAATTTGTAGTCATTCTAGAACAAGAAAAGCATAATTTATATATAATTTCGTGATTTTTTATGGTCTCACAAAATGCCAAACCTTGCAAGTAGTGTCATAAGCCTTGTCAAGATCAAAGAAGATAGAAACGAGATAATCTCTCTTAAGGAATGCTTCTGTGATCGAGGTTTCGAGACAAATCAGGTGGTCCTCAGCGGAGCTTTGTCAGTGACAACCACACTGAGTGGCTGAGAAGATGTTGTTCGACTCAACCAAACAAGATAAATATTAACCATCCTCTTCAAAACCTCACAGAGATAGTTGTCAAAGAAGGAATGTTGGGATCCTTTCCAGGCTTCAAAAAAAAGGGAGAACAATAGCTTTACACCATGCATCTGGAAAATATTCTCCTGTCAAATCTGGTTTAAAACAACCAGAAGAAGAGCAAAAGAGGCAGGATAGAGACCGTGTAGGATCTCGTAGGGAACATCATCAGGTCCAACTGGTGTACTTCTTGACCAATGAAGAGCAACCTTAAGTTCCATTAATGTAAATGGGCAGTTACAATCCTAGGGATGATCTACTCTAAAGGAAAGTAGCAATTTCTCAGTACATGAGTGGATTCTCAAAAAGGCAAAGGAATTAACAGAAGTGCTGGAAAGGTAGGAATCCCGGAGAGCATCAGCAATACATTGTGAAGAATTTGATGTAATATGGGGAGTAACTGCAAGTGGTATTTCTACAATATCCTTTGATTTCAGGAGGAGTTCACTATGGTCGGTACCGGTACTCAGCGTCGAGTACAGTTATTGGGTCATCACTACTGGCTGTACTGGTATTGGTTTATAGCACATCATATCTTGAGAATAATATCTGTTATCACGTGTACCATCTTCAGGGTTTTGACCGAACTCCTCCTCAGGTATTTCAGCTTTGGCTTTCACAGAATTAGAAATGTTTGATGTGGTAGTTTTGAGTTCATACTTCAGTCGATAAGCAAATCTATCCATGTTAATCGGCAATAGCATGAAATATGGGCAACTGGTGACTCCCATACTTTGGAAGAGAATGTGAATGTGTGTACGTGACTGCATGTTAGGTAGGTGCATGTGTGATTAACTCTTAGCATGCAAGAGGGTCAAACTGCATGTCATGACATTTTAGTGAGTTACATTCAAAATTTAATTAACCTACTTAATTATCATGGTATACAAACAAACTTGACCTCAAAACCATCCCTTTTTAATCCAAAAGGGATTAGAGGGTTTTGCTGGCTCTCCAAAGTCTGTCAAGAAGTTACATTCTCAAGACATTCTGATGGAAACATCTATAAGAAGGGTTTGCAATAGTACTGATAGTACCAGTACTCAAGATTCTTTAATCATGTGACTTGAGAACGTAGAAATTCAACAACTCTTCCCAGTATGTTCTTGTGGGAATTTTTTTCTCACATCAAACCAAACTGCCAAACATATGTAAGCCCATGTGGTATGACAATGAATCAGTTGAAATTTAGTCTTTCTATTGGTTATAAATTTAATGGGATTCGTCCTCAAAAAATCTACGAGCAAGTTGTAAATTAGAATATGTCAGAGGCAGGCATTTGAATTTTTATTGATTGTTCTTTAGCCCCATAAGATTGAAGAACATAAAAATATAGCATCATGATATGAATGAAGAAAATAGAGAATGTCTGATGTTACATTTCATAGCTTTCCAGGGGGTTGGACAAGAAAATCCAGAACAGGAGACTGCTCAAGGACAAATATCCAAATTTTCACACTAGGGGAATTTAAGGTTGGTTTTGAATATTTCCTTATACAATTAAGAACTTAGAACTCGGACATAATTTTAAAATTTGATGTATTATCTCGACATTTGCCCTAAAGGTTTATCAGACATAGAATGCAAAATGAAAAACTTTCTAACTGACCGGTGTTTGTTTTCTTCATGTTCAGAGAATGTACTGTTGTTATTTATTACCATAGATGTGACTATCCTGAACACTACCAGTCTATAGAATCTATGACTTGAATAATCCCATGTCTTCCAGTCAATAATCAAACAGCTTCTAACCATGGGAATGATATCTAAGCTATATAGTTTAAATATTTCTATAACATATATATAGAACTTCTAAACAGGAACTATAAAATATTGGTGTTAATTAAACATGGTATGTTACCAACAGTGTGTTTTCAAGCTGTTCTGATCAATGTAGAAAAGTTGTTATAAAGTGTTAAACTTAGTTTTATATTTAATACTTTTATATTGATATTTGTGTTGATTATATTAGAACATTAACACATATTTAGATGTTCTTGAAATAAAGTATTGTATTATATATTTATTATTAAATAATTTGTGACATCATTGATATCTATTTTAGATATAAAGACCAGTGTGAACATCTGTGGAAGTCAGTTTCCTGGTTACGTTATAAAACAAGAAGATCACTCTACAGAAGATGTAAAATTCTTGAACAACAATATTAGTGGAGAAACAAGATTAAGTGAAAAGGGTCAATTAAAAATACATGAAAGAATACACACTGGTGAGAAGCCTTATAGTTGTGTAGTGTGTGCTAAACAATTTATGTCAAGCTATAACTTAAGAATACATCAAAGAATATATTCTGGAAAGAAACCATATCATTGTACAGTTTGTGGAAAACAGTTTGATAGAAATAGTTACTTAAAAGAACATCATAGACTACACACTGTAGAGGAACCTTACAGTTTTTCAGTGTGTGGAAAACAGTTTGGTACAGATAGTTACTTAAAAATGCATCAAAGAATACACACTGGGGAGAAACCTTACAGATGTACAGTGTGTGGAAAACACTTTGGAACAAAGGGTCAATTAAAAATACATGAAAGAATACACACTGGTGAGAAGCCTTATAGTTGTGTAGTGTGTGCTAAACAATTTATGTCAAGCTATAACTTAAAAATACATCAAAGAATACATACTGGTGAGAAACCTTACAGTTGTACAATGTGTGGAAAACAGTTTAGAACAAACAATGAATTAAAAGAACATCAAAGAAGACACACTGGGGAGAAACCTTACAGTTGTACAGTGTGTGGAAAACAGTTTGGAACAAAAGATAATTTAAAAAAACATCAAAGAATACATACTGGTGAGAAACCTTACAGTTGTGGAGTTTGTGGAAAACACTTCAGAACAAATAATAAATTAAAAGAACATCAAACAATACATACTGGTGAGAAACGTTACAGTTGTACAGTTTGTGGAAAACAGTTTGGAACAAGGAGTAACTTTAAAAAACATCAAAGAATACACAGTGGGGAGAAACCTTACGTTTGTACAGTTTGTGGAAAACAGTTTGGTACAAAGACTGACTTAAAAACACATCAAAGAAGACATACTAGAGAGAAGCCTCATAGTTGTGCAGTGTGTGAAAAACAATTTGTAACAAACAATGCATTAAAAAGACATCAAAGGATACACACTGGTGAGAAACCTTACAGTTGTACAGTTTGTGGAAAACACTTTGGAACAAATGGTCATTTAAAAAGACATCAAGCAATACACACTGGAGAGAAACCTTACAGTTGTGCAGTTTGTGAAAAACAGTTTGTAACAAACAGTGAATTAAAAATACATGAAAGAATACACACTGGGGAAAAACCTTACAGTTGTGTAGTGTGTGGAAAACTGTTTGGAACAAACAGTATATTAAAAACACATCAAAGAATGCACACTGGGGAAAAACCTTACAGTTGTGTAGTGTGTGCTAAACAATTTATGTCAAGCTATTACTTAAAAACACATCAAAGAAGACACACTGGGGAAAAACCTTACAGTTGTGGAATTTGTGGAAAACAGTTTGGAACAAACAATGAATTAAAAAACCATCAAAGAATACATACTGGTGAAAAACCTTACAGTTGTACAGTGTGTGGAAAACAGTTTGGAACAAATGATAATTTAAAAAAACATCAAAGAATACACACTGGTGAGAAACCTTATAGTTGTACAGATTGTGAAAAACAGTTTGGAACAAAAGGTGCATTAAAAATACATCAAATAATACACACTGGGGAAAAACCTTATAGTTGTGCAGTTTGTGAAAAACAGTTTGGAACAAATGGTGGCTTAAAAAGACATCAAAGAACACACACTGGGGAAAAACCTTACAGGTGTGTAGTGTGTGCTAAACAATTTATATCAAGCTGTAACTTAAAATCACATCAAAGAATACACACTGGTTAGAAACCTTATAGTTGTACAGTTTGTGGAAAACAGTTTATAGCAAAAGGTAACTTAAAAACACATCAAATAATACATATTGGGTAAAAACCTTACACTTGTACAGTGACTTGACAAAACTTTTTTACAAACATTACCTTAAAACAAATCAAAGGAACATTGTGGAGAAATCTTACAGTTATGGAGTTTGTATTAACCTGTAACTTATAGAAACATAGCACACACACTGAGAAACATTACAGTTGTTGAGTTAGTGAAAAACAATTTGTTAAAAGTAGGTACTTAAAAATATATAAAAGGTTACAAATCAGGTAAAAAACTTACAGCTGAAGAATACAATATGTAAGTAACTATAGCATAAAAAATACCTCAGAGAATAAACAGTTTTGTTAGATCATCTTTCTATTTTAAGCAGATATGAATTTACAATAACTTGTTCTGTTTTGTGTCTATCTTTTGTGTTTTGTTTTACTTTTAGAGCAAATTTGAACATTTTGTTTCAAAGCAGCGTTTCTAGTATTGCAAGGTTTGAACTTTATAGTGTATAACAAATTCTACCCAAAAACTCTTTAACAAACATTTGCCAGAGCTACATTCTAGATACGAGACCAGGTGATACCTTCTCAAATACTCTTAACTTACAATAACATTCACAGTACAAACAAACAGGATTTCACCAGTGTATTCTCTCTCATGTTCTTAAGGTTCCAATTTAATCCAAATATTTGCTACACACTAGTCAGCTGCAGGTTTCCTGTCAATTTGTTATTTCTTCCAGAATCTCTGCCCTACAGTAAACTACATGATTCTTAGTCATTTTCCACAAATTAAAAATAACTGCAAGATTTCTCACCAGTATTTTTTTAAATTATCTTGTATAAGATTGAGAAAAGTATTGATCAATTGATGCGTCATGTTTTTTAATATTTAATGGGAAGAATGATGAGACAAGGGAACACAAATATAAATTTCAGCAATCATCTTCAGCTAAAAGGGTGATTGGAAAAGGTTGCCTTCAGTGGTGATGGTTAGTTTAAAGAAGTTTAAGTGAAAGATTGATAAATATTTTAATCATAAAGATTGGCTTCAATTTCTTTAATGTTATATGATACTTTACAAAACCTGGTTTTTCCTGAATAAGAAATCTATATTAAATGCTAAGTCCTACATTTATCATTCTTGGATGACTACAATGTCCAAGAGGCCTCTGCAGTAAAAAAATGATATACTTACAACCGTGACTTTTCATACATGAAATAGAGGATGAAGTAGAAGCTGTTGATAAGAAACATTTTACAGTGTACTGTCTACCATATTTAGAGTCTTGACTTCAGTTACTGATGAGGATGTACATGAAGTAAAGAGGAAGGTAGAGTTTATTATTAACCCTACTGCTGGGCTCTGTCTACCTTGATTAAACTGTTGAATGTGGCTACACTGGGTTTACCACACTACTTTGGTATTGATTCAATTACGGAATGCTGTTACATTGGACTGACTTCAACATGGTATGCTACCTATAGTTTGTTTCAGTGCTATTCTGGTCTAGATAAAAAGGTTTTTATAAAGTGTGAAATTATGAAAACTAGAACAACTATTTTTGAGAATGAATATTTTATATTGATGTTTTTGCCAATCATATAAAACATTAAAATGCATTTTTGGGTTCATCAAATAAAGATATGTTTGATCAAATGTTAACTGTGTTTGTGATGTCATAGCCATAAAGACCAATGTGTACATATGTTGTAGAAGGTAGTTTACAGAAGTCGTAAAATCCTCAAGATGAAACAATATACATAGTGATGAGATACCTTACAGTTTTCCATTAACTTAAAGTACATAATAAAATACAGTTGTGTAATTTGCATAAAAAAGTTTCAGGGTAACTCTGTAATTTAAAGAAATATGTCACAGTATACACAATGGCAAAACTTTACAGATGAGGAATTTGTGGAGGTGACTTGTGTAAATATTGATTTAAAAAGTGACGTAAGAAGTAGAGTGAAATAAATCTATATAAATGTAATAGTACTGTTGTATGTATCTAGAAATATAATACTACTGTGTGTTGTATGTATCTCTAAGTATAATAGTACTGTTGTATGAATCTATAGAAATATAATAGTACTGTGTGTTGTATGTATCTATAAATACAATATTACTGTTGTGTGTGTCTATATAAATATAATAGTACTGTGTGTTGTATGTATGTAAATAAATATAATAGTACGGTTGTATGTATCTATATAAATATAATACAACTATCTGTTGTATGTATCTATATAAATATAATACAACTATCTGTTGTATGTATCTACAAAAATATAATAGTACTCTCCATTGTATGTATTTATGTAAATATAATAGTACTGTCATATATACAATACTACTGTCTGTTGTAAAATATCTATATAAATACAATACCACTCTCTGTTGTATGTATCTATACAAATATATAAAGTACTGTCTTTTGTATGAATTTATATTAATATAATAGTATTGTGTTTTGTATGGATGTATATAAATATAATAGTACTGTTGTAAAATATATATATATATAATACTACTGTCTGTTGTATATATCTATCTATCCATCTATATATATATATATACATATATATATATAATAGTACTGTT